TTATTTCTCAAAAGGTATTCGAATTAGCATATTTAATTATTGTCTAAATAATCATGCCATTTTGCCACGAGAACCTTCAAGCGAGACGGAGGCAGTAGTAAATAGTAATAAGTACAATAAGCAAAGTAAGTCAAATAGAGCATTACTTTGGAATATAATAAAGTCTAGAAGTGATGAGGAAAAGAAAAAGAAACAATGTACCCTTGCTGGCTGATTTCCTCCTCCAAGTTCAGGAACAAAAAGGGCAAGAATAGGATCAGTTGGAGACCAACTAATGTCAAGAACATTATCTACTTTTATAGACTTTTTGTCTATAAGACTGAAAGTTTCTGTTTCGTATACAGAGATGACATTTTTCCCTATTCTGGCAAAATACTTGTCTTCTTTGCCGCCACTCCATCTGCAAAGTTTTATTGAAAGTTAAGTTATAACTTCACCAGATAGTTAAATTATTCACCGCTTAAATCCTTACCCAACATGAATTCCTGAATCATTTTCTTAGGAATACACAAATATTTATCCAGTCACACCTGAAAATTGGCCAAGAAACACCTGCAACGCCGCCAGTCCCAATAGCAAACTCATCAGCACTGCCTTTAAAATCTCTCCGAACTTTCCCACTTTTCACATGAAAAATGTTCAACATTACTTTCTGTAAAAATAAACAGATTGCAAAAGACGAGCCATTATCATACACTAGGATCAACAATACGGTCACAAACTTGTTATCTGTTCAGATTAAGTAAAGACTGAATCACAAACTTACATGAGAGTCACGAGGATTACTTGGCTCGTGGCTGCTGTAAGTCACCAAGTAGTTCTCGCCAGGAGAGAAATCAATCAGTTTAACCTGCAATTAAAAAAATCATAGCTAGCTAATTATGATATACATACACACACACACACATATATTTCCATCATTTGCAATGGAGCCAAAGATTCATTATTTTTTGGCTTGAGAATATGATGGAATAAAGCAAAATGGCTCACTAAACTGTCTGTGCTTCTTTGTTATGAAGAAGCAGTCGGTCCATGCAATTTTGGACACGATTTTCACTATGGGTCATCCGGAAACAGTCTCTATGTGCTGTAGTATAGGGGTAAGACTGCGTACATCCGACCCCCCTTACCCCACTGTAGGTGGGGGCCTTTGCGGCACTGAGGTAAATGAAAATGAAAGGATACATATATATATATATATATACATACATATATATATATATATATATGTATAGATTTAGGTTCATGTGAGAACTTAATCTTAAGAGAGAAAAAAAGAATAGATATCAACCATTGGATTAAGTTTTAATCATTCGTGTGTTTCTCTTTCAATTGAGGGCAAACTAGAGATTTTCTTTATCTATTAATAAGCACCGATTCTTTCCATAACTTCTATCCCAAAATTTTAGCTTGTTTACGTTATCATTTCATGGATTGATTCCATCGTGACTCATCTTTTTCCTTCTTAATCAAAACTCCACTAGAGAACTCCTCCATCTTTTTCATAAAAACTTTTGGCATTCTTATTTCCTTTTTCTTTCTTTCCTTGATTTCTTTAACAATGAGAAATGGTTTTTCTATGGATTTTAGTATGTTTTCACAAACTTGAATTTCCTCTTAATCACACAGTATTCAAGGGAGATGACTTTGATGCACAATTCTTAGTTTTGAATGCATTGTGAAGAGCCCATTGTGCACAATTCCTAATTTTGAATGCACTTTAGAAATCATATTAGCACCATAGCACATATGATAGTGCACCATTTTACTGTACACATGCATGCGGGTAAAGTTGCATTATTAAGCCCTACATGAGAATGTTATTGAGAATATTAAATAATAATGTGCAATTTTATGGGTAGAATGCATCACTTTGAAGGTTTGAAGACATAACATTTCATCACACAAAGCTTGTGATGATGTTGATGTGCATGGTGTTATCATTTTAACACAAAATGTGCATCACGAGGTAATCGCAATACTTTTAAACATAATGCACCTATATTCTTTTAATAATGCACATTTAATAATATATGACTTTCTTCTTCAATTATTAAAGAAGTGCATGATGTTAGCAATAAATGTGCATCTCAATCACAATAAATTTGCAACAACAATTGTCACTTTTGAGTCAAAGTTAATGCATAAATTTAGATAAAGATTTTATAAATTATTTATCCAAGTTTTATGCTACAGAATGCTAAACGGAGAGGAATTCAGAAGCATTTAATAGAGAATGATCAATTAATGAGTATTTATTAGTCTACCTAGTTTTTAGGAAGACTTCCTAATTTAGTGGTTTATTTTCCCACGTCAACCACCATGAAGTTTACCTTTGTACCCTTAATTGATTATATGGTTGCACTCTTTCCATTTTAAACATACACGTTAGGCACCAATAGTGGAGGAAAGAGGCAACTAGGATTAAATAATAACCATCCGATCCAATTAATGGAAAGCTAGATTTTGTTCTTTTCTACTCTCCTAAGAGGGTGTTCTAACAGGAACTAATCCCTATATATATATATATATATATATATATATATATATATATATATATATATATATATATATATATGTATATGATAAACCCATTTTTGCTTTTTATACCCATTAAGAAATAAAATTAATAACTTTATGTTAACAACTGTTGAAAAACCTGTTCATGATAAAAACGCATCAGACGAGGTTCAAAGCTTGTGGCGCCTCCCCAGATAGCAGCACCTAGTCTATGAACTGTGGCCAGATAAGTGCCCAGAGGAGACCATTGAACAAAACTCTCAGTCCAAAACTGCATGGCAGTACAAAACAATAATGATTTATTGGAAAATACAGAGAAAACAAAGAAACCCAATTCCGCACCAATTTACAAACAGACCGGACGCTTGTAAACAGATTCCGGCTTTAACTGTCTAGCATCATTCCAAAAAACTTCTGTGTCTGACCCAGCACGAATTACAAACTGGTCTCTCGCTTTCTCGTCAGTTAGCCAGTTTTGCAGGTTCTCCTGCATAATATGCAAGCCACCAAAATGAGATGAACAATCAAACGAAGAAGATCATATGGTACTCCCAAACAGAGAAAAGATTTTTTTTAGTACTTACCCCAGGGGTATATACTTTTGTATCAGGTGGTGCCCATTCATCTGGAACTTTCATGAATTTATCAATGTCATCAAACATGTTAACAACAAATATATGGGATTTGTCTAGTCTGTATCCATGTGTTTTTTCTTTAGCAAGCTCAGCTTCCTAAAGCATCAACGAAATTCATGTGAGCATATAATGGAAATCATAAGGATCCTTGATAATTGTGTTGCTGAACAGTGTCAAGTGTGCAAAACATAATGATGCTATCAGTATATTAAACTAAGACTACTACCAGTCGTTTATCTTACTTTAGTATGTGGAACTCTTCTGCACCATATTTGTATGATGACAGAAGTCATCATCCTAGTGGAATCCTACTTGTTTTTAAAATCTAATTTTTAGTTTGCTCTGGCTTAAAATGCTGAAAGTATTTGTTTTTTTACTCGCTGTTACAACTTAGTTTCTTTTTAAAACAAGGCCTTCTGAACAAAACAAAATGATTCCCAAATACAAGTTTTTTCTGGGATGGCCCAGAACATTGTGGTAATGGCAAAGAAACAATATATGATATGCAACTCTTTTTCTTTTGAAGAAGGTTTGTTTTATTTTCAAACCATGAAATCTATACACCTCTACTTATATATGTGTGTATCAAATATCAATATTCTCAAACAACTTGAGTAAGTTCTTAGCTTTGTTTTCTTCATGGCCAACTAAACAACTATTTTCTCGATGTACCAATTGAAACTACTTCCGAGAAAGAATGTAAAAAACTACTACATGCAAAAACTATCAACAAACAGAGATATATCAGGAAAAGCAAACTGGCACCTGGGGAGTATTGTACTCAATGAAGCAGTATCCCAGGGTCTTCTGAGTATCGGGATCGACAGGCATCCAAAGACCATCATCCTTAACCACCCCAATTTGACTGTATATCTTCCGTATGACACCTTCTAGCTTTTCAAACTTCTCTTTGGGAACAACCGGCAAATTGTCAACAACTATCACGTTCCCGAACCCTTTCTCAAACTCCAATGCGTCCCCCTCCATTAAGTCACCATCATCACTACCGTGCAATTAAAAGCATTGGCAATAGTCAGATAAAGTCGGAAACATTAAATCAGTTTAAAATTGAGTATAATGTGTGGGTTCTCGGCTACCTTACGACCCCCATATCCTCACCAGGAGGAAGACGGATCGAATCCAGATCAATTTGGGAGAGATCGATATTGAGCCGCGAAGCTGTGGCACGAATCTCCTCCATTGACATCACTTCAGCCATGGTTACACTCTTGCTACCGTTTCGCTCTCGCTCTGTATAGGAATTTGTAACAGGATTGAGTGTATGGGTAGACAAATAAAGCCAGCGTGAAGCACAGAGTAGCAGGGACAGGAGAAAGAACGAACTTGCAATGCAGCTTGAACAAGTTTCCTAGGGTTTATTGTTTTTCGGCTCTGCTCGCCAGAGCTGCGCGCGCCTAATTGTGTGAGACAATTTTACCCTTTTAAATCTCAATCGTGGCAAGTATATTAAACATTTGTTATATTTTGATTTGTTGACACGTATTTAAAAATTTGCCAACTTTTTCCCGAAATAATGTTAATTAAATAAGTAATTCCCAAAATACTGTTGGGTTGTCCCTTCTGGAGCGAGAGCTTAGCTCTCTAAATCTTCGGTCCTCCTAGGGCTTTGCCGCCGCTAGGCTTGTTTTTCCGATCTCGGCTTTTGGTTGAGGATCGAGAGCAGCAAAGTAGAGAAGACAGTTGGACGAGTGCAATTCATCTCGGCTGGGACCGAGGCGAAAGGCAGACGACACGGGCGAGCTGCGACGAGGCTGGAGCGATTTTCCGGCAACATCCTTTTGTGGCGATTGGGCCTGGCGTTTCCCATCTCCGTAGGGCTTGGGCATCGAGATCGAAGGAGGACGGTTGCAGATGGAGATCGCTGGCATTGGTAAGCAGGGGATTGGCGATCAATTTGTCGCAGATGAGGAGAACCGAGCAGTGCAGGGTACGGACAACGCGGAGAAAATGATCGGTCTCTTCCTGATTGGTGCATCAACAATCGTTGAGAGGGTCAGGCCTCCTCCAGAACCACCGCCAAGGGTTGATCTACGCGCTTTGGAGTTTGCTTCTGATTTACCTTTTCGGCATTTTAATTTTCAAGTTAAGACGTTTGTGTTTTGTTGTTATTTTATTTTATGCTGTAAGACTCTTGCATTAGGTTTGGGGGATGGAAAGTCTGCAGTAACCGTCATTGGCTCTAAGTTGCCCAATTTTGGTCTAGCGAGTTATACTGCTTTTTTACAGGTGGTTAACTCTCAGTCTCGGCCACGGGCGGATGGTTACATGTGGTTCTTTTCTGCTTTTGTACCCTTGCTGAATGCTATTTCTATGAATTAAGTCTTGTTCGAGCAAAAAAAAACAAAAACTGCTGGGTTAAAAATAATTCCCAAAATACTGTTCATTTAACCGTGGTTGAGGAAAGTCGCCACTTGAAGTGGCGGCTCTTCTCTTACAGTACAGAAGCCGACACTCCAAGTGATGGCTCTTCTCTTACAGCACATTTTACACATAAATAAAACGTAGTATGTTTCAAAAATTTGTTTAACTATCTTCCCGATAGAATTTTAAGCTGAAATTTGGTATGAATAAACTAGACTTGATGAGGAACATTCTAAAAAAAAATTCATCAAAAAATTCCACCGCGAAGACAATCTGATGGAGTTGTCCGCACGGGGGTCCTGGTCAGGATGTCATGACGGGAATGGGACACTTTTATGAAATTTGAGGTGCTTCCGAGTCAAAATTTTTAATGACATTTAGTGATCATGTTCTTTCTAAAGTATAGGTTATGTTCAACGAATTTTAGATTTAAATTAAATCAGGAAGTTAGTTAAATTATTTATTGAAAAAAACTGCAATTTTAGGCCTAAATAAGTGTGCAATTTTCAAAAATATATTTAACTAACTTCCCGATTAAAGGAACTAAATTAAGATTCGAGCTAACACTGCCGTCATTAATGCCCTTATAAACAATTCTTTCTCTTCCACTTACTAAATAAATATAAACTCTTTTTGAGCAGTTTATGGCCATTGGAAACAGTTTCAACACCCACATCAACTTTAGCAACTGGTACTATTGCTCTAAGTTCCAATTGCAGAATCACAGTTTCGCCCAATTTAATTGAGCTCATGTCTGGAAGGCAACGGTAAATTCAAATTCAGAGAAGCATGTGTAATCCTACAACATACAAACTATTGATAGAAATGCTCAAAGTAATGTAAAAATGGAAATGCATATCACATATAACACATGCAGCTAAAACATGATGACTTATGCAAAAATTATCAACAAATATGAAACAATAAGAAATTATAAAAATATTGCTTCCGGGAAATAACATACCAAACAATCTATTTGCATAACTTATAAATTATCTTGGCACAAATTTTGTCTCGTGCCTTTTGAAAATGTTCATGTAACGTAGGCCTAAAAGCTTCAATTTTAGGCCTCTTTCATTTGAGCTATTTCCGGGTCGAATATTTTGATGAAATTTGGTGAGAATGTTCCAATGGAATGTAGATTATGTCCACCAAATTTCAGATTAAAATTCAATCGGGAAGTTAGTTAAATAAATTTTTAAAAATTGCATAATCTGAAATTTAGTGAACATAACCTACATATTAAGAAGAACATGATCATCAAATTTCATAAAAAAAAATCGTAAAAATGTCACATTCCCGTCATGATGTCCTGACCTGGACCCCCGTGCGGAGAACACCATCAGATTGTCTTTCTGGTGGAATTTGTTGATGAAATGTTTTGAGAATGTTCCTCACCAAGTCCAGTTTATTCATACCAAATTTCAGCTTAAAATTCTATCGGGAAGACAGTTACACAAATTCTCGAAACATACTGCGTTTTATATATGTATAAAATATGCTGTAAGAGAAGAGCCGCCACTTGGAGTGGCGGCTTTTGTACTGTAAGAGAAAGGCCGCCACTTCAAGTGGCGGCTTTCCTTACCCACAGTTAAATCAACAGTATTTTGGGAATTATTTTTAACCCAGCAGTATTTTGGGAATTATTTATTTAATTAGCATTATTTCGTGAAAAAACTCAAAATTTGCAACATTTCCCTCTTTTGAAGATGTTCCTTTAATATATTCAATTATTCTTATTTTTTTTTACTTTTACTCACCTTTTCATACTTATATGCATTGTTCCAAAACTAGATAGGCGCTAGTCGGCTGCTTGAAGGGTGTCTAGCGCCTAGGTGCCTAATTAGGCCGATTTGTAAATGCCTAGGCTGACTAGTCGTCTACGGTTAGGACCGACTAGGCTGATTAATCGGTCTGAATAGGACGATTTTTAGAACAGTGCTTATATAACTCTTTTCTTGCAAAAAAACCTCGTCTTTGGGTAAGCTTCTTGTCCTGCAAAATATCCTAAGCCTCAAAACTCATCTCTTAAGCGCCTTTTCAAACCATAATTCTTAAAAAAGTGGTTCAGGAATTCATGATGGGTAAGGATTTAATGTAAATACTAAATAGTTGATCTATCTTGTGGAGTTGTCACATAATTTTCAATGAAAAAAATTCAGATGGATTAACGGAAAAGAAGATTAGTATTTTGCCTGAATAGGAAAAAATGACATCTATGTGTACGAAATAGACACTTAGTATTGTAGACAAAAAGTCTATAAAAGTAGACAATGTTCTTGACATCATGTGATCTCGAAACTGATTGTATTCTTTCCCTATTGACGATAGTCTGAATCTTCTCAGGGTTTTCCTCAACCCCCCCCCCCCCCCCCCCCCTCGGCTGGCCATGTAGCCGAGAACGTTTTCCCCTTGCACGCAGAAGGTGCATATCTTCGGTTTGAGCCGGAGGTTAAGCTTTTGCATGATGGCAAATATTTCCCTGAGGTCGTCTGTTGCCTGCCTGCTCTTGACGATCATGCCATCAATGTAGGCCTCCATTGTACGTCAGAATTCTTTAGGTCAAAGGCCATGAGCATGTAATAGAAAATGCCCTCGGGTGACTTGAAAGATGTCTTTTCTGCATCCTCTCCATGCATAAAAATTTGGTGGTACCCGCGGAATTTGTCAAGGAATGACATGATTTTGTATCCCACTGTTTCCTCCATCATTTAATCAATGTTGTGGAGATGGGGAAACGGCTCCATGAGGCATGCCTTATTTATGTTGTGTAATCCATGCACATGCTGAAAATAGGCGGCTTTTGTGCGAGGACCACATTTGCCAACCATGTGGGGTACTCCACTTCTTTGATGCGGTGAATGGCGAGGAGCACGGTGACCTTGAGCTTGATAAAACCCCTTCTCTCGACTAAGAGTTGCCTCTGTTTCTGTTTGACTGGTTTTGAGTAGGATCCACCATGAGACTGTGAGTGATGACAGATCTTCATTCTTCTCCTGTTTGGCGGTGAGAAGGTGAGATAAGTGCTTCTTTACTCGATGTCTTTATGGTGAAATGCGTCGGGAAGCATTGTGCAAGCCCTTATCACGATCTGATACTCCCCTCGAGGAGTCGGTTAAACCATTCGTAAGATGGACCCTCGAGGGTGGAAAGGAACCATCGACACAAATATTCATCTGATGCTCCGATCACAAACATGTTGTTCTAGTACATATTGTATTGCTCCATAGGGTCGGTCTTTCCCCCGTATGGCCCGATGTGCTGCCCTCAGTACTTTTCAGGGATTTGTGCCACCAAAATCCTTGGGGGTGAATGGCTTCCTTGTGGGGAGTTGGACTATGGGGTCTCCAATGCCTTTAACGATCTTCCTTTGCAATTCATCCACTTTCAAAAGAAGCGAGGCGTGCCTGGGGCCGGGGTGGGGGTCGAGGTTCCTTGTAGTTGCCTAACCTCCATCTCATCTAGGCAACATTGTAGAGCATTGATGATGTCATCCATGTGGTCTCATGGGTGCCCCTACTAGTGAGATTCAACCCTCACTGAGTGTGCCTGGTTGATTTTGTGGTGGGCGTCCTCGATGCAGAGGGACCTCTTACCTTGATCACCAGGGGCCTGATTCTCCGCTGCTCGTGAGACCAAGCCCTTGCTTTCCAGGTGGGAGGCGCGGCTCTATGCCTTGTGGGGGTTACCGAGCCGGTCTTGGATCGGCCGACGTCCCTACTTGTCGCTTATCCTCTCAAGGGCAGAGGAGGTCGGCAGTAACTTGCCACATTTCTGTGGCGATGGTGTCGTTGGCATTCCTCTTGGACGCGACATTGGCATCATTTCCCCTTCGGGATATGGTGGGCGTCATCGAGGGCTTATGATTTACATGTGGTTCTTCGCATTGTCCGAAGGTGTGTTTTTGTTCTTCCCGTGGAGGGGATTCTCACTCGGTTGTTCTAACTCTCAACAAGAGCACCGAATGATAGAAAGCTTAATCGGGATACCACTAGCGGTATGTAGAGTGAGGGAAGAACTATTAAATAGGAGAGGGAGAGAGAGAGAGAGAGAACAATTGTATTAATGATTTTCGAATAGTTACATATGCCCAAGAGGATGCTATTTATACTAGTCATAAATGCTAAGTGCATTAAATGCACGAACACATGTAAGCTATTCTGGAGAGCGTGTTGGCTTGTTGGATTCTAAACCTGTTTCCACTCCTTTAATGCTTGGTATTTCTCTCGTCAGCACTTACTCTATCAAGGTTTAGTATAAGTCTGATCTACATCTGATTTGACCGCAACACCCTTAATTTTAATTACATAGCAGACCACCATCCCATTTGGTTCGGTTATCCTCACAAACCGCATAGCCATAAGCCTCAATGGAAAAATTTGCAAAAAACGCAACTGGAAAAAAATATATACAACCAAGAAGTAGGCGACTACAAAGAACGCTAAGGAAACCAACGAAAAATATTTAGGCAGTTGAAAGGAAAAATGATAAGGGCCGAGGAGAAAGAAAAGATCAGAGGAGACAAATGTTGAAAACACATAAAAGGGAGAACACTTTGACAATGATTTTTAAACAAAGAGACATATTAAAAAGGAGAAAGAAAAGGAAATTGTGCTATCGTCCACTAAGGTAATTTATTCAACGACTTTAATATCGAAAAGTAAATATAATGTTGATGTGAGATGTGGTTACTCATAGACTTTATAAGACTTGTTCAAAGAGCTAGTTGGTATTTTACACCTTTTTACTTGAAATTTTGTGCATACATACTGGAAACAATTAACACGTCATTCATTTGATGTAAGTCGAGATATGAATCAGATGATGTTAGACGTACAAAATGTATCATGACGACATGACTACTACTTCTTCCATCCTATTCAAAGGTTCTGACTGTCATCTTTTGGATGTCATATCTAAAAGTTACTCCCTTCGCCCCATTTAAAAGTTCTCATCCACTATTCACATGGT